AAAAAAGGTCCTTGTCACAGAAGAGAAATCGGATGTACAAAACAACCTTTTGATGAAGCCGCCTATCTCTCTTTGGCCAGCACAACCGGATCGTCCCTTCATCAGTGCATGAGCACCTCTCTTAAAACACACAATCTCTCACGAGTGCAGGCGCACCGCGAAAACAGATTGGCAACCTCTGCATACCGAATTCTACGAGCGACAACTGGACTCCTTTTTTTAAGAGCATAATCAGTGTGTTACTTTATTTTTTCGAGTATATTAAATAATTAATTTTGTGTCACCTAAAACTCCCACTGCCAACCAAGTGACAACTGCGAGTCAGGTAAGACATATTAAAATATAAAATACAGAATTGTTGCCTGCCTCATATTAAATTATATGTACATGCATTTACATTTACATCATAGAAGTGTATTTGATCAAATTCTCGAGAACACGACCTCGAGAACCCTCAGACGATCAGGAGGAAGGTATTAACGCAAATTTAGATCATCTTGAATATTAGTGTCGGCAGGCGTCGTACTAACATTTACGGTGATTTTCGATAGTTTATTTTATTCTTTTAATATTATTTTATTCTTTTTATTTTTGCGTTATTACAATAATCAATGGTAACTCTAATAATTTCATAAAAATTAAAATTAATTTAGTTTCCAATGATAATAAGTATTTATATAATATAATATAAAGATTATAAACAACAAAATACAGGTCAAACTAGTGAAATTATGGTCTCGTCGTAGTATTAAATATATTGTTAGTTATAGCTTATAAGTTTATTCAAGCAATATTTATTTTATTCGTAATTATTATTTACCATAAATTAAGACGTCATATATATTATATTTTATGGTAAGTACTCCATATGTATATTCTGTTATAAGTATTGCTCAAAGGGTAAAGTATATTCGAGTTATTTTAGAATAGAGAACTGAAGTTGAAATAAATTTAACCGTTATCAATTTCACAGTAGGTATCTAACTATTTGGTTTGTTTATTTTATTTTTTTGTGAGCTTATTGGAAAAAAGTTTGTTCAGACGTGCAAACTACAGAGTTTCACATTTTGCTTCCTTTTTTTACTTAATGGAACGTAAATGTAAAGCTGCGTGGAACAGAATTTGTCATGGATGTTATTTCAACGGTGTGGTTGATGATACTCATAAGTCATACAGTTGTGTTTACCGATGCTCTTTCGAATCAAAGACTGAATAATGCAATGGTTCAGATTCATCATCATTCGCTTCTGAGCTGTGCGTTTTTTATTTGCAATAAAAACTATACAAATAATACAATTGCACATTATTCTGGAGATTTTTCAACAGCTGGTTCACTTATAGAATATATTTACAGAACACATAAGACTTGCGTAAAATACCACACTTACTCGTCATTTTACACTAAATAATATTATCAAACTATATTGAGTGTAATCATTTCAAAATAATATTTATGACTTGTTTAGTTTCAAATAATAACTACAATTAAGTGAATTAAGTTATTGACAAAGTAAGTGATAAAGTAGTGTATGCTTACAGTGTATTACTGAATTATTTTTAAATGTGTTTTATATAAGTCAACATTTTTTTAACATAGTTAAATATTCAAGTCAACAATTTCTAATTTCACAAGATAAATACAGATAATATGATATATTACAGTTAAGCACAATTTAGTTAACTATAGATCCTTTGGCATCTAAGCATCTTCAAACAAATTGTACTAGGTGTTGAGGCTATAAAAATATGTAAATTCGTAAAAATTACTACTTTTCATCAATCATTTAACACTAACTTCGACTAATCCTCAAAAATAATTCAAATTGTTTATGTTTATCAACATTGACTCTTGCTTTATATTCTACTATCTATACATAATATAGTAGCTAAAAATATTTAAGTTAAATTTATGTTATTGTATTTTTTTATTATGAATTGTATAGGGTTTTTAAATACTTACCATAACATCGGTGTTATATATGATCTAGTGTTACAGTTAAATTTCCAACAAATATCTTCTTACATTAAAATTAAACTTTATTTCTTATTTTTGGGAATTAAGTTTTTAGTGAATGTCAATGCAACAAGTTTTATTGATAGCTGTGTCGCACACTGTATACGATTTATGTGGATATCCCTTTAAGGTATTAGCCACCACCATATATCACCTTATATGACTGAATATATTATTTATATTGCTCAAGTATTCAACCCATAGACATATTAATATTTGGACTGTGCATTCCCTATAAACCATCCAAGGTGGGTTTATAAAATATCCACCTTAACCCCGTCATAGATTGCCAAATGCCAACATTGTTATAAAGAGATAACCAATACCAATATAGTGTGCATATGATAAGACCTAAGGTGCATTCTATTTTTTCTAAAATTGTTGATTAACTTCTCTCCCTCTAGCTGTTTAATTGGGTATATCGTATAGAATATAGATTATATGAGCTTAGTTGTATGTTATATTTTCCTAATATTGATGGCACATGGATCTCTCTCTCCCTCTCGGAGATATATTTGTTTATTTTCATTATAGGTCTATGATTTAGTCGGCTGTAAACCATAATAAAACATTTTAAATCCGTTTGTTGGATATGACTATAATAATATTACTATTGTAGTTGGATCGCATGAAGCAAAAAAGTAATTTCTAAGAAATGAAAGCTGTTCTGCGATCTTAGAACTCGTAATATTTCACAAATGGTGAACCGAAAGATCCATTAACTGGTCATGGTAGTAGTGAAAGGGGAACACAAAGCAGTCTGACAAAATTTGTTACACTGAAACTGTTGTGGAAGTAAAAACAACATTGTCTCTCTCGATACTGTTAAGATGCTGTAGCGCTCCTGTCAGCGGATGGAGGACGACGATTTGCAAATTTTTAGGCTGCCTCTGCTACCAGCCCTTGCTGCATCCCCGTCACCGGAGGCCCCGACATCCGCCAACACCGACATCACCTTCTGCGCCGACGATATGTCGGAGATGTTCTCTTTCCGGATCGGCATCGACTTCTTGAGCGATAGCTGCCGTGACCGAACCGTCTGCTGTTCACCCGCACTCATGCCACTGATGTTCGAACACCGGCTGCTAGGCTGCTCGATGTCGGGATCATGAGGGAAACACCACAGAAATATGCCTCCATCCATGCTTGTGCTCACCAAGTAACGGCCGTCAGGGCTCACCCTCACGTTCGTTACAACGCCTGCGTGGCCCACGCCCACGTGAGTGGGCACACCCTCGTTGTACAGCCAAACCTTCACCGTCTGATCAGAACTGCCTGTCACGAAGTACTTGCCTGTGGGCCAGGTGAATACGAAACAATTTAGTATAGTAGGTATGTAATTATAAAAGTATTGTGCGTCTACTAAATCAGTCCACCCCGAAAATCCCATATCACCGTGCCAGAGTGTGTATATCTGTATAGGTATTATGCTGGCTAGTAAACAATAATTGAAGAACATTCCAATTCCTCACTATAAATTTAAAAAAAAATTGTTTTTGCATTAGGTATCGAATTTTTGAAATTTTTTTATCATATTTTTTATAAAAATATTAAAATTGATAAAAAAAAATGCATCAAGTTAAGAGCAGTTTAAGCTTTTGATATTCTGAATAATACCAGTCCTAAACCTAGCGAAAAAGTAAGCAAAAAATTTAAACGGATCGCATTTGTGTGAATTTATCTCAAGGTAGGTAAAATACGGAATTTTTGTGTGATAATTTGGAACTCAAGATTTATCCTATTAGCGATACAGCGCGTTTTTCAAACAAATTTGAATATTTTTAACGATTTCAAAGCAAAATTAGGTCAAATTAAATTGATTTTCTACGATACTTGATTTTTGAGATGCTCTGTATTGTATGCATTTTATTATAAATCTACGGCTGTAAAAATCATTAAAATGGAACAAAGTTTAAAATATCAAATCAAAAACACTACAGTGACGTATTATTTTATACTTTATAGGAAGGCAATTTTAACTATACAATATATAACGATAAGTTAATATACATTTTAGTTTTAATTTAAAAATTGTAAAAAATATACGTAGATCTGGACATAGTGTTTACATTCCAGTCTTTAATTTCGATTCTATAAAGACTGGATATAGGTAAGTCGCAGGTTATTTTCTTAATAAAATACTATATTTTTAACCGTTCATATCCAAAACAATAGCGTTTTGTAACATTTTCATTGAAATTAAACAAAACCACTACCTGGTGTGAAAATATATACCATAAAAAATACATTTCTTCAGATTGTATTATTATAGTAAGTACCTATCACCACCAATACAAAAAAGAAAGAAAAAATTAAGCACTATAGTTGGGTCTATAGTTATATAAACATAGCTAATTCGCCTTTTTTTTTAGTTTCTATAACTATCTACGACTTACGCCCCAATTTTTTTTTCGTATGTTTTATTGTACTACCAACGACCCCTCCACTAGCACGAGGAGAAAAACCGGGTGGGTAATTAATTCGTCACTTAAATAGTAATCACTCTGCTGGCGGTGGACGGCGAACGAACCTGTGGGGGTGATGTCAAGTGAATTGAGCGCAGACACGGGGGATCCTTCGATCTCGCGGATTAACGACCCATCGAGAGACTCCCAGAACCCGATGTACCGGTTGGTGCCACTTGTCAGCAGCTGGGTACCGTTCGGGTGGTACATGGCACTTGTAAACACAGTCGTCGAGAACATTATCGATAGCCGAGTATACCGGACAATGTCCCACACAATGCACGTGCCGTCTGCACTGGAAGTAATCGCCTCGTGACCCAGCCGGTGCAGGTCAATGGACGTTACCGCGCCCTTGTGCTCCTTGAGCACTGCGATCAGGACGCCGTTTGTGCCGTTTACCTGCCACACGCGCACCTGTCCATCGCCACCACCACTCACCAACTTCATGCCGTCCTTGCACATTGCTATAGCCGACACGCCGTTGTTGTGGCAGTTGTGTATGGTGTACAGCAGACGGCCGGTTTCCGGAGTGAACGACCGGATGCGGCCGTCGTTCCAGGAGCTGATAATCTGCGAACCGTCATGAGAAAATAGTACTCCGGAACACGTGCAGTTCCGGACGGTGACCCGTAGCAATTCCTGGAGCGTATCCACTGACCAGATGCGAACGTCGTTCTTGCTGGCGGTCGCGAACACCTTACTGTAGTCACGCGGGAAAGCAAGGTCGTACACCGCAGACGTGTGACACGTGAACATGCGGGTTACTGCAAACGTGGCCACGCTTAAGGTGAATAGCTCGCAGTTTACGGTGCCCGCCAGCACGGTGTGGTTGCCCATCAGTTGTATGCTGGTCACAGTCGACTCAACGTCCGCCGACAAGACAGCCACCAATAGCGGGGTCGTGGGCGTGGCCAGCCGTGTCTCAAATTTCTTATATTTTTGATTCTGCTGTTGCTTGAGCTGCGCCTTTTGTCGGACCAATTCAATGACGCCATTTCCTGATCCCACGATCATGGTGCCGTCATCTCCGTAAAGCCGCAGCGAAGTTACGCCCTTGCTATACAGTTCAACGGTGACGCCGGATGTCCGCTTCTTAGCCGGGTATTTGGCAAAGCAGCCGACCAACGTTGGAGATGAGGACGGCTTCTGCACAGCTAAGTCCGCGGGAAAATTCAACTTGATCTTGAGCACGTCCCCAGTACTGGTGCCACAGTATGCGTACTCGTCCAGGCGGTCGATCTCGGTGCAAAGGATCTTTCGCTTTATCTTGGCGAACGACGTGTCTAGCCCCTGCAGGTTTCTCTGCTCCTTGTTCAACGTCCACAGCCTCAGAATGTTGTCGCCGGCCACCAAGAAACACTTGTTGCGAGAGTTCACCGCCTTGAGCACGGTGGATATGCCAGCGGTCGACTTCACCGACGACGAACCGCACAACACCTGTTTCTTTTCAATCTCATACACGATGATAGTTCCGTCGTCGATACCTCCCAACGATATCAAGAACTGTTCGCAGCAAGAGAACGCCACTGACTCGACGCGCACCATGTGCGACTCGTAGTTCGTCACCGCCTCGCCAGTCTGGAAATCCCATATGATGATCGGCGATCTGAACCCCATATAGTTCACCTGACCGGCGGCAACGTATTTCCCAGTAGATGACACCGTGACCGCCGATATGATATTGGTCAGCCCTACGAAGAACCGTTGCGCCTTAGTTGACCAATTGTAGGCTGTAACGTTGGTGCCGAGTGGATAAACCAGATGGACGCCGTCTGGGTGAAATATTAGGCCATTCAATGGATTGCCATCGAATCCGATCAGTGACTTCAATTTCAAGTCTTGTACGTTAATTTCTTCCATTTCCTAAAACTATACAAAAACAAACAAAAACGTATGGATGGAATAATTGTATTAATTATTTGAATATATTTTATTGAATTGTGGTTTAGTTCCATAAACATATTATTTTACATATTATTCGATGTTTATAAATCTATGACAGCTAAAATATCTAAAATAAATAAAAATAATAATAATTTATTGTCTATAGGTTCCTAAGTGAATATAATATGTGTTTTTTAAATGAGTAGAAATAGATATGTCTTGTCAAGAGTCAAATATGCGATATTAAAAAGTTTGAATCTTTCAACATACATTTATGTAAGAATAAAATATCAAAGGTATTTTATTTTAAGAATAAATATGTCACGTAATGCCTTAATAATAAAACCACATCAAGTGGCATGTATAATTGTCACTCAATACACGTTTATTTGGGTAAAACTACTGGTATTGTAGAAGTATTGTAGTAAATACTGGTATTGTAGAAGTAAATAACATGCTCGAAATGAATTTAAAATTTAAATTACATAATAGTAAAACCCAATACAAAGTACCTATGCCATGTTGTCATTAATTTTAAACTAAATGAAGTGTACTGCTTATGCTTAGAACAACTATTTCAAAGTTTTATAATACTAAAAATATTTTATATAATATTAAATATAAACTGAAAGTTTTTAAAACAGAAAAATAAAAATAATATAACAGGAAATGAATTGAATTTTATCATTTGGTATGAAAGTGTCACTAATTTAAATAAAAGGTAACATAAATAACATAAAAATATGCTCACATAAAACCAATAAACTAATAGTCAAATAGGGTTTAGAAAAATATATCTACAAACTAGAAAGAACATCAAGTGTGACCATTGTTTCAGGTTTGTTACACTAATTTTTTCGGCTAATTCACGCTTTGTTAAATCAATGATTTTATTGGTGATTCAAATTAAGAGTTCCCGCCAAAATAATTTACAAAATGGTGGTTCAAAGAAGTACTATATACATTACTAATATACGTATTAGGCTTTATAATCTTAATTTTTATTAATAGAATCATGAATTTTTATGAATGACTAAATAGTAAACACTTATTGTATAATTTAAATTAATAAAGTTCTTGTTGAGATAACAATTTATAATTTTTAAATATTTCTCTCATTGTTTTTAATAATAAAATGGATAAGCAAAAGGCATTTTTAAGCATTAATGAAATGTTTAATTATCTTCAGTGTACTCCAGGAGCAAGATGTGTTTCAGAAGGGGAGGAAGTTTTAAATGCAGGTTTGTGTATTGCTTAAACTTCCAACTTAAATAATAATATATTCATAATTTAACAATTATTGTTAATTATACAATATTTTGTCATGTAGGTCATATAATATTGTGTGGAATAAAAAGTATAATAGAAAGTAAGATATGTTTATATGCATTGTGTTTACAAACTAGTGCATTATCTAGTCATCCTCATGAAATAAATGGTTCAATTGAAATGGAAAAACTAAAAAATGATAATAATTACAAAATAAAGTTGGTTGAATTTCTTTGCTCGTGTAAGGCTGGAGCAAGCGGCCGTTGTAAGCATGTATCAGCAATACTTATTCAATGCACAAGGTATTAATTAAACACATTACAACTAATGATATTTAATTTAGAAATGTTGATTAAAATAGGTATTATATTATTTTTATTATAAACATATTTTATTATTAACTAGTATGTATCTTTGTTATACACATGTTAAAATATAGTTTATATTCAACTTATTTACAATACTCACCTAAATATTTACTTTATTAGGGAAAATATATCGGAATTTGAGAAAATATCATCTACAGATATAAAATGTGTTTGGTCTGCTAGAAAAGAAACGTCAGTACAAAATTACAAACCTAGGCCTTTAATAGATACAAATTGCATTAAAGCACATGACTTAAATATGCCATCAACAGTATCTGAAATAGATATTTTAAAAACTTGAACCTCTTGAACCTTGTTTTGGAATTAAATGAAATGTTATATCTTTATCCCGGTCAGCTCTCGACGAACAGCCATATACACAACAATTAGTTCTATTCGTGGTTTGGTCAGACATAACTATTAATTATATTACTTAAATTAGTATAAGTAATTTAATAAGAAAAGTTTAAATTATTGTTTAAATATTAATTATAATGATTTGCTGAGTAATCAAAACACATTATCACTGTCTGACTACACTACTAAAGAGTACAGAGTACTTCTTTGAGAAGTACTACTTTCTGCCACAAGAGTGCGTACTACTTAGCAAAAATTGCCTATATAAAGCTTGAAGGTACAATCTAAATACATATATATATATATTTATATAGAAACATTTCAAATGTTTATCATTCCAAAAAGATTCATGCACAGTAGACTTGCATTGTTGAAAACACTGGAAGTATTAAGCATACTTAGGAAGTCTGTATTTATCATAAAAAAATGTAACAGGGAAACTTTCACAGAGTACGTTTTCTGATAGTTATGTATAAATGCCTGGTTTTCGACAAAAAGATGCCTTGTTTCTTTCACTATATTTAATTTAATACTACAGAAACAGTGAAAGGTGTAAATGGTGACCAAAAGATGAATATAATATGTTGAAAACTAGTATTATTGTCATAAGACGATGATATCGTGATAATGTGAGAGACGAAAGATGAAATCATAAATAGAACGTACAAACTTCTACAAGCAAGTAAATCTTTAGATGTATGTATAAACGCAAATAAAACTATAAATATTTAATCAAGGATAATCTCTAAAAACAATTATAAAGCATGTATAATAAAAACTTTGGAGTATAAATGTTTTGGGTACCTAGGGAGGGCATGCAAGAGGAGATCAACTAAAAATAGTATCCTGTAATTAATGTTACCGCAGTATTATGAAACTCCATGATAAAATTCACTGTCCCACCACTCCCACAATAAATTTGAAAACACTCGTATACTGCGGTTATTTGCAACCAGCAAGTGAGCAAAACCTGGTCACTCACTAAGGAAAATATAATGATACTGATTAGTGATTACTTTCGAGAGAAATGTACTGTGAAATATAAACGGCACAAGCTATGACTATAGTCACAGCCTACAGGCTTATAATATGAAACAAATCAAGACCCACAAAACGTTCATAGCTATCCAAATATTCTATAATTTATAAAAAGCAAATGTCTAAAATGGTTTTTACAGTTGCACATGTTTGGAGAGCTGATAGTTATGCAACTAATAAAACATTAATTAATATGAAAAATAAAACGAAAAATAAATATTCCAAAAATTAAATAAAGAACCTCGTGAAAATCAATCAATACATTAATACATAGTACATACCTATAAATGGGATTGTAATAGATATTCAGAGCGGTATAAACCAAATCACAACAGAAGCTGGTATACCAACTAGCAAAATAGTGTACAAAACTACAATAGATTAACAAATCGTTTCAAATAATGTCCTAGAAGATAACTAACTGACTTCTTAACAAAAATTCGAACCCGAGGCTGTTTCAAATTTTATTGATCAATGTTCAATGGTTAATATTTTGTTTAATCGTTTAATGTCACTGTCAGAATGGAAAACGAAAATGTCAAACTAAACGGTGAAACAGAATACTAAATGTTAAAGCAAATGCCACCATACAATGACGTGTAGAAGTAAATAAATAAGAACCTAAATATTTTTTTTAGGTACACACAACTCAAAGATGATATCGATTCTTTTCGACGAACCTGCTCCAGAAAATATAACATAAGTATCTATACACATAGACTCATAGTTTTATATCAAATACAACATTGATGTATTCATATTTATAAATTAATTGTATAAAACGTTTATAGTATAATGTATTTTTAATGTATCTGAAACGTCAAACACAGAAGCAGTTGAGGAGTAGAAGAGTGGTATCTAGGTATCTAGTAATCTAGTTGATATCTATAAATGAAAAAAATAATTTGATTTAGTTATTTTTATATTAATTTCTTATACATTGTTAGAATTATTATTTTAATTATAGATACTTTATTATTATAACACGAAATATTATTAATATTTAACATTTAACTTAGTTTATGCATTATTTGTCCAACTAGAAACAGACATTAATTTAGTATAATGTATAGGCATTTAAAATAAATTTCTATTTACATATCAATAACTATTAGCCTAGGCATTTAATAAATTTGCTGATTTGACCATATCCTAATTGCTTACGACATTAACATGTATTATAGCTTTAATACCTTATAGTAACGCAAGTCTGCACCGCCTAAAATGTGTGACAATTTTTTATCATCACGAACTCCCGCCTATTCCGGTACCGCCGAAATCATAATCGACACAATTTCACAAAAGAGCTCAAACGCCTAAAACCTTAACAGATTGCTTAATATGTATTAATGTGTATTCTGAAGTCTAAACATAATATGTATTTTAAATAAAAATGAAGACATTTTTTTGTACTAACCAATTTTTAATTTTTTTCATTTGCAATAATAATATTAAATGTTCAAATTCTCAAAATAATATACAATCCTTTTATATGAAAATATTTGTTTTTTTATAGGTACACCTAAGTGGATCGATTTTTTTTATTTTCCCAGTAGAAATTTTTGACTCAGTCTGGCCCTGTACTTTAGTAGTTAACTATATGTATGAACATAATATTATGAGAGTATAAGCCATTATACGAGTATAATATGAGAAGTATACAAAGATACCACTTCGACCACTGGTTGTAAGTATTAGGAAGAACCTTGATTAAATAAAACTATAAAAATATTAAACAGATTACAGTGTTGTACCACACGATTGCTTGGATAATTCATAAGTGGATGATTTAAAATATCAATACTCGCGCGCCATCTACTATTCATTGTTTCTGTGACAACTGTATATCAGAGTTAAACCGTGAAGTATAATAAAACCATCTTAGTTTATAACATGAGCTTAATAATTGAAAATTGAAAATTAAAATATTATTATAATTTATAATATTTATAATTTGTGTATTCAATTTACACATTGTATAAGTATTAATTTTAATGTTTCTAGATGTTTAATAAAGGCTGCTTAAGAAGACAAGCAGTGGCGGGCTGAAGGGCTCAATTTTGAAGCAGATATGTCAACTTTTCGAAGGAAGTGGTGCCACCCCGTGACTGTGGAACAGAACTATACGTGCTAAGGCCCAATCTCTTTTCTGTTTCGGCCACATTTTAATTACATCATTATTTGGTAAAATGGGGGAGGGGTGTGCTAGTGGCAAGTACTTAATTATGAAAATGCGTAATTTAAAATGTTAGTTTAGTCCGCCACTGCCCACAAATGTTTTGTCCTGGTCCTCTGTCTTACAAACGCTCAACATGGAAAATTTGAGTTCAAAAGTTCTAATTTTCTGTAATAACCATTAATAATAAAGTTAATTAACATATTATGTTATAAAAGTAAAAACGTAATCTGTATTTTTACATAATTTTTTTTATGATATTTTAATTACCTAACAAAAATTCATTTTTTACAAAATATCATAATTTTACATTTTTTTAGTATACATTTTTTAATAATAAATCTCGAAAAAAAAATATTAAAATTATCTTTGTAAAAAAATTATCTAATTTTATCAATAAACTGAACCTTTGAAAGTTTAATTCTAAATTTTATTGTAAATTAAAAGTATTGTAGCGAGAGTGTTATTGATTCTCATGTTTTCAAAATGAGATTAGAGACAAATATTTGATAATTATGAAACTAGAAAAAAAATATTCCATATTCCGACTACAAAGATTTACACTTATAAACTAAAAAGAGGAGTATTCGTTTAACATTCCTCGATGAACAGACTAATGAAAGTATATCGTTTCCTGGTAGAGAAAAATATTGAGAACAGACATTTACTTCCCAATTATAGATACTTTAACGCAATTGAAAAATCGTAATAAACCATACAAATTAATAAATACATTGTTTGGATTTTTCTTCAATTTAAAAAGCATAGAGTCCAAATAAATACAAGCCCATTACAAAACATTTGCAAAGTTGTATCATGTAGCTATCAATGAAAATTAATACAATTAACTTTAGAATGCAGACATGTCAAAGCGTATCTACCGGAGCTTGAAACTTCTGAATTCAAATTTTCTAGTAGGTATGTAAAATGATAAATATATATAAAATAATATTTTACAGAATATTTTTATCATAGATGATTCATAGGCAAGGGCACTTGTAGATTTGAATATTTGTTTTGCACAGTCACAAAAATAGCAAAAGCAAATACGTCGTATTTTATTTTACATAAAAATGCATATTTTGAGTTATTTTTGTTTCTAAGGCATATTTCTACTATATTATACTAATTGCGACATACTTTAAATTCAATTAATAATTTTATCAATTTATTCTCCACTGAAATTTTTATTTTAAATAATACAACCAAAGCATTAATTTATTTTTGATTTTTGTCGGATAATATGGTTTTCGACTGGCCCCAGGGTACGTTTTTTCTAGAAGCCCGATAATTTTATAAATTATAATAAAATGCAATACTTAAGGTTGTAACTTTTAAACAAATGAAACTAATTCATACTCATAAATTCAGTTGAATAAAATATATAAAATGAATAAAAATATTCTTGATTTTATTTGCGAAAAGCATATTTTAGTATATTTTTTATTTTGCTTGTAAATGCATATTTTGGATATTCAAATGCATATTTGTTGATTTTTTATGGCTACAATAAGGGCTCTGCCCTAATTATTACCAATTGTAGTGAGGAACGCTCATTTTACAAGTTACATTCAAGTAGAGCTTAACAGTTAGAACTTAGAAGTATCATGAGTTAGAAACATTTAAACTGCCTAAATCTTTAATGAGTATCGCTTATGAACATCATAAAAATGTAAAAGAATACATTTGCAATTGTAAAGGCTATGAAAAGATCATTAAATAGTATAATTTTAAAGATAAAAAATAACAAATTTATACCAATAGGGTCATACTCTTTTGCTATTTATTTTAATTTTGTATTATGAACTACATGTATTTTTTAACTGTATAAAGTATGCATTTATAAATTATTCATAATATTATGTTCACGTTTTAATTAATAGAGAAGCTGTTTTTTCGCCATATACTTTGAAATTTTAACAAACAATTAAGTAACAGAGGCTAAAATAAAAAATTGTACTGATAAAATATAATATTTTACAGAAAAAAATAATATGTATTAAAAAAATGT